TTAAAAAAAAATAAAATCTACTTATTTGCTAAAAAAAATAAATAAATAAAATAAAATTAAATTAAATTAAAAACAATTACTGAAGGTTATTACATGAGTAAATGATTTTCAGACCATTCTTTTACAATGGAATATTACTATTATAGTTAAAAGATTGGTTTAAACTATGATTATCTTTAAATAATTTGAGGTGGGAGTATAGATTTCTCTGTGTTTCTTCTCTTTTTTCAAAAAAAATTTTTTTTAATTGATTTTAGGGAGAGAGGAAGGGAGAAGGAGAGAGAGAAACATGGATATGTGAGAGAGAAACATCAATCGCTGCCTCCTGCATGACCCCTACTGGGGATCAAGCTAGCAACCTGGGCATGTGCTCTGACCAGGAATTGAACTAGAGACCTTTCCATACATGGGACGATGCTCAACTAACTTAGCCACACCAGCCAGAGCTCTTCTCATTTTATAAGTAAAACATTAGTGGAACATAGTGAGAGATACATTTTTCCATTTTATTTTCTATTGACTGCACTGGGAATGAGCAGTCTTTTATTACTTTTATATAGTTTGTAAGAAGTCAAAAGAAAGCCCTGACCAGTTTGGCTCAGTGGATAGAGCGTTGGCCTGCGGACTGAAGGGTCCTGGGTTCGATTCTGGTCAAGGGCATGTATCTTGGTTGCGGGTACATCCCCAGTAGGGGGCGTGCAGGAAGCAGCTGATGGATGTTTCTCTCTCATCAATGTTTCTAACTCCCTATCCCTCTCCCTTCTTCTCTGTAAAAAAATCAATAAAATATATTAAAAAAAAAGTCAAAAGAAAAACTGAAGACAAGGTTGATAATCTTAGGAGTGTCATCTACTTAGTCCCCCCTATTATTTCCTGCCTCATCCTGGTTTTGCTCCTGTCAGAATTAAGTAGGCAGCCTGCTATTGTAAACACACTTTCTGCTTTGAGAGCATTATGATTATTCGTCACTTCGTGGTTGGCTTTGCGTCTCTGTCCCCCCTCTCCCTTTTTAAAGGAAATTACTGAAAATAAATGATCTTGCTTTGCTTTATATGTTACATATCTTCTAAGCATTATCATTTTTTTGAATATATATTGGAAAATATATTAATAAAGAAGAAAAAGGATGAAATAAGTGTATTTTAAAAAAATCTGCTTGGATTCATTTTTATTCTGTATATAATTAAAGATTTTTTCAAGTTTGGTTAAATGTGAGGTGTTTTTTCTATGTATTTACCCTTTCTACTTGACATTTTAGAAAAATTTTGTTTTTGAAGTGAGGGGAAGAGTCACTTTTTATTTTGAAATTATCATTTTCCTTTTTAAAATGTCTTCTTTTGTTTTGTTTTTTTGAGATAATTTAGTGGGTTAAACATTCTAGATGTCCTGATCTTTGAAAGGGAAACTGCATTTTAAATCTGTAATCACACCTGGCCGGTGTGACTCAGTGGTTGAGCATTGACCTATGAATCAGGAATTCACGATTTGATTCCCAGTCAGGGCACATCCCCAGGTTGTGAGCTTGATCTCCAGTAGTGGGTGTGCAGGAGGCAGCTGATAGAAGATTCTCTCATTGATGTTTCTATCCCTCTCTTCCTCTCCCTTCTCTGAAATCAATTAAAAAAAACAAACATTAAAAAAATCTATAATCACCATGAGTATTTAAGCTATTTCATGATGTATGTGTGTTTTTTTTATTTGATATACATGTTTGTTTACTAAATTAAACATTTGCTTAATAAATGAGTGTGAATTTCATGACCTGTAATGGAGCTACACTCAATGAATTAAAGTTTATTTTACTTTGGGAATATAGCCTAAGAAAGGCAAAAACACCAATCAGAGAGTGTATACATCCCTAATGTTCATAGCAGTCCAATTTACAACAGCTAAGGTCTAGAAACAGCCCAAGTGCATAGCAGAAGATGAGTGGATAAAAAAAGCTGTGGTACATTTATGCCATGGAATACTATGTAGCAATAAAAAAAGAAGAATGTCTTGCCCTTTGAGATAGCATGGAGAGACCTGGAGAGCTGGTCTGCTTTGGAGAGCTGACAAAATGCGTAGTGAAATAGGTCAGAGAAAGATAAGTATCACATGATCTCACTCATATTTGGAATCTAAGTAACAAAATAAACCAACGAATGGAGTGCATCCAGAGACATGGAAGTATGGAACAGAGTGCAGAATCTAGGGGGAAGATGGGGAGGATGGGTGGGTGGGATGTAATCAACCCAAAACCTTGTATGCATATATGCATAACCCATGGACACAGACAATAGGGTGCTGAAGGCCTGGGGTGGGGGCTGCAGGGGCAGGCTGGAGGGGGTCAGTGGTGGAAAAATGGGGACATGTAATACTTTATAAAGATTAAAAAATAAAATTTATTCTACTTTGAAGAAAAACATGACTATAAAAAGGTAATAATGGCTTATATAAATTACACTGATTCTATTTTAAGCAAAGAGTTCAGAGATTTTCAGTAACCTTTAAAAATGTTTAATGACTTTAAATCTGTAGAATTGAAAAGAAGCTAAATTTATTTGTCATGACAAAAGCTGTACCATTGGATAGGCACAAGAGTATTGAGCTTAGTGGTCTGCATTCTCTTGGTTTTTCCCATATCAGATCATCTTCCATCAGAGTATATGTACTACTTTTTAGTTTACTCTTCTAAGAAAATTGTATAAAACTTATTCCCTCATTCAGAATTTCTCATCGTCTATGCCTAAAACTGTATACTGAGCTTATAGAAATAAGGTTTGTCATATTTTTTTAGAACAAGGAGTATCAAAGTGTTTTTTACACAGAGATATAAATCTTATTACCACTAAAAAAGCTAGATTAGTCGCTTAAGGTATTTACAGATCTTGATAAATAATAGCCTTCCACATTTGACAAATCTTATCTTTACTCAAAAATCTTTTTAAATTTCAAAGTAGTTTTGATTCACAAAATGTTATGAAAGTATTGGAGTTCCATCACTGATTTCCCCCAATGATAACATTTTACTTAATCATAGTAAAATTAGTCTTAATATCAAGACTAAGAAATTGACTTTGGTATACCATTCCATAAACTGCAGGCCTTATGTGGATTTTACCAGTCTCATCTCTTTAAAAACTTCATTGACTTTATTTAGACTTATTGATAATATATTTTATGTTCCATCTATATTGTTTATTGCAGTTTTAAGTTGATGGCAAAATTAAGTGGAAATTACAATTTTTATATTGTCTCTGCTCCTGAACTTGTACAGCATCCCCTACTATCAACATCCCCACCAGGTGGTACATTTGTTACATTCAATGAACCTACATTGATACATTATTATCACTCAAAGTCCATAATGTACATTAGAGTTTATTCAGTGTTGTACATTCTATGGGTTTTGACAAATGAATGACATATATTCATCTTACAAAATAGTTTCATTGCCCGAAAAATCTTCAGTGTTTTGTTCATTCCCCTACTCCCAATCTCAGGCAACCACTGACCTTCAATTGTCTCCATAGTTGTCTTTTCCAGAGTGTTAGACATTTAGATCGTTTAGTATGCAAACTCTTCAGATTGGCCTTTTTTCACATAGGAATTTGCATTTAGTTTCCTCCCTTTCTTTGCATGGTT